GTGATAAAGAAACAAGACTGCCTGCACATTTCATCAATTTAAATCACATAAACAAGTCTATTTCAGGGTTAATTCAGAAGTATGTAGGTTTCAATAGTATATTCCCTTTGCAAGATTAAATTTTATTGACAAGGGCAATTTTTGTATTTTCATATTATTAATTAACAACATGAATTAATAATCTGGGTATCTTAAAGGCAATATTTTTATGTTGGATTAGTTGTAGCATTGATATTTTCTACCATTATGTAAAATTTTTTTTAAAGACAGACTGTGCTTTATTAGCTACAAATTAGATACATAATTTCTTTTTCTTTTTTAGAAATATTTTATTTATTTATTTTTATAGAAGGTAAGGGAGGGAGAAAGAGAGGGAGAGAAACATCAGTGTGTGCTAGCCTTTCACATGCCCTCCACTAGGGACCTGTTCCACACCCAGGGATGTGCCCTGACTGGGAAACGAACCAGCAACCCTTTGGTTCGCAGGCAGGCATTCAATCCACTGAGTCATACCAGCCAAAGCAATAATTTCTGAATACTAGCTCAGTTATTGTATTTCGCTTGTCTGAGCAAAACAAGACTGAAAAGAAAGAAAGCTAGAAACACAAGTAGCTTTAAACTATCAGTGGCATTCCAAAGCCCAAGCCCTTCACTATATCACCTATTTACTTTTTCAGTACCAAACTGCTAACAGACTTTGTAATCTGCTTCCTCATCCCACAGCACTGAAATCCCATATTAATAAAGGAACATTATTGCAGAGAGTTAGCCACACAGAGAGCAGTGAATTAATGGATGACTGCCAGAAAGCAAAAGGATCTGATAGCTATAACAAATCCATAAAAGACCAAAAAAAAAAGATATAATCAGTGATCATTAGGACAGAAGCAAACAGTTCCATACACCTGGGTAATCTCTGATGGTTCTACTATGTGTCATTTTGAAACTTAATTGTAGTTCAATATGACCAACCAATAAACAAGAGAACATTTAATTATCTTAATTATATAAATTATATAAATATACACAAGTTTAACCTAAAATGACTTACAATTGTAAGTGTAAATCTATAAAGAGCTCCTACTTTAAATTTGAAGCTGCTATAATACAAATTCTTACATTTACTCATTTCAAAAATAATTATTAAGAACCTGTCTTGGCTGGTGTGATTCAGTGGATTGAGTGCCAGCCTGTGAGCCAAAGGGTTGCAGGTTTGATTCCCAGTCAGGGCACATGCCTGGGTTGCAGGCCAGGTCCTCAGTAGGGGGAGCACAAGAGGCAACTACACACTGATGTTTCTCTCCGTCTCTCCCTCCTTCCTCTCTCTATAAAAATAAATAAATAAATAAGAAAACTTACTATATGCAAGGCCCTGTACTAATTCCTTGGACTACAACAATGACTAAAATATAAAAATATTGCTGTCCCCACAGTACTTACATTCAAGAGAGTAGAAAGTGGTAATAATAAGCTATGATTATAATAGGTAACTAAATTTTAAGTTAGAGAGTGATTAGAGCTGCAGAAAAAGGAAAAGTACAATGAAGTACTACAATGGGGAGTGAAGATGGGCAGCCTGTAGCATTAAAAGGTTAGTTAAAGTAAGCATCAGTTAAGAGGCAACACTTGAGCAGGTGACTTGAAGAAGGTGAGGATTTAGCCAAGAAGCAGTCAGGGGAGACCATGCCAGGCAAATGGTCTGCACCCATTTCCTAAGATGGGAGCAAGACTGGGCTACATGAAACCATTGCAAGCCTTTGAACAGGGAGTGAAATGTGCCAGTTAAGTTCAAAGTGTTTTATGAGTACTGACCCACTGAACCCCCAAAACAACCTCATGTGATCAGGGCCATTTTTATTCTTTTTAAAATGAAAACATGGAGCACAGAGGAGTTGGGTAAGTTGCCCAGGGTCACACAATTGGGAAGTGGTAAAATTGGATCTAATTGCAGGCACTCTGATTCCAGGGATGAGCTCTTACTAAGTAGAGCTCTAGCTGTTCCTTGAACATGACACACACATGCATGCATGCTCACATGTTTGTGCACACGCCCACAAACACACACCTACAAGAGTACAGAGGAAGCTGAGAGATCAGAAGGGGAGAGTTTGTTCCTTACATTCTATTCCTCTTGGTCCACATTTTACTTTCTTCTGCATTAGATATTTTACTTGTTAGTCTTTAGATCAAAATATCTGTTTAAATGAAAGATGTTCAAATTGATTGAAAGTACATGCTATTATTTTCAAAAGAGCTAAACCAAATTAGCCATTCTTAATGTGTAAAATAAATATTGTGGAAATATATACAGTTATGCCTATTTATTTTAAGTAAACAAAGAGAACATATCAAAACACTCATGCTGAATTGAAACAATATACCCTAATATTTTTATTAATCTACAGAGAAAAGTATAAGAACATTTTCTGGCTAAATATCCTGAATAATATAGCAACTAATTGTTTATTATATTATTTACTTGGAAAGTGTTTTGGAATCAATAGAAAGACCTCATAAATTATGATTTATAACTCACATCCCAGGCAAATGAAGATAAATGTGTCACTGGAATTATTTTTCTGCATAAATTACCTTGGTTCTATTACACATCTTTCCTATATATATTATCACTGAGGGCTTTTGAAAAATGCTTAAATACATTGATTATTATATGTAAGTCCACAAAAATTTTAATTCACAGATGATTTCACTATGAAAAATCTATGCAAGTTGAAATAAATATTAATGCCTTAAATATAATATTCTCTAAATCATATAATAATTTTATTACAGTTAAGATGAGATCCTCAATATTGTATTTACAATAGCAAGTAATCTACTTTTATTAATTAATAATCAATCCAAAAAGTAATTAAATCCAATTTATCAGAAGGAAATTTTAAGGGAGAGTCTACCTCAGTCAAAAGGGTCACGGGTAAAAAGAATACTTTTCATATACTATCAATAAAAGAAATAAGACAGTATTCCCCCAAATGGTGTAAAATTACCATGACTCTTATGCACAGCTCTGTATTTTAAAATGTAACACAGTTCCATAAGAGCAATGCATATTCAGCAAGAATAGAAAAAAAAATATCTCCCAAATGGCTGTAACCACGGAAAAATCCTGGGCAAGAAACCACACAGCATATACAGAAACAGAATGAGTGAGGTCAAAGACAAATGATATTCCACATAACCTCCAGGTTCAACATGCTTTGTATAAGACCATTTAACTTCCTATATTTTTTCAGCTACTATTCTTGCTTCTTGTGAATTCAAGCAGCTTAAATCAAATGCTAGAAAATATTACATCTGGCAGTTTTCTAAACCTAGATCTCTTTCTATTAACCGTCTGCCCAAAATTAATCATAAAAAATAAGAAATAATGTTTCCTTTTTTCTCCTTCTATATTCTTAAGAAATTCAAAGAACTTACACAGTAGAGAATTTTTTTTTCACTTTGCTGCAAAATTTCACTTGACATCACAAAAGCCAATATGAGCTTAAACCAAAGCACGCCTGCATTACTGAGTACTGAGAAATATCCCTTGTTACTCCATGGACTTTGTAGTATCTCCATATTTTTCAGTGAAACTATAATTTTTCTTTTTACTAATTAACTAAGTGAGAGCTGTTGACAGATGAAAGAGAAAGGGATTTCTGAATTGTTGAATATTTGACAATAAGTGGGGTGTGATTTGTGAATGTATTTTGGAGTTTCATTTTAACTTTTTGAGTCAATGCTAATTACCAAAAACAAAGTTGAGATAAACTAATTATTATTAAGTTTCAAGTTTTGCTTCTCAGATGAAAAAAGTTAAATATTTATGTATGTTCTTTATGTGTATATATTTTTAAAGACAATGAAGAGTATTTTCATATTATACCTTCTCCCTCCTTAAGAAAAATAACCATAGCTATTTATATTATAAAGCTAACTACCTGATACCTTGGTCATTGATCAGGAACCAATGTGTCAACTCAGCTAGGTTTATTCAGTCCCACTTGTTCAATCAAACACTAATCTATCTGTTACAGTGAAAATATTTGGTGGATGTGGTTCAAGTCCACAGCAGTTGACTTTAGGTAAGGAAGTTTATCCTAGATAATCTGAGTGGGTCTGATTCATTCCTCGAAAGGTCTCAAAAAGCAGAACTGAGGATTCCTTGAGATTAAATTCCAGTTGCACAACATGTTCAGCTCATGCTGAGTTTCAGCTTGTTCTTCCCACTGCACTGGTGTTAGGATTTGACTTGCCTAGCCTGTTCCCATGAACAAGTAAAATAATTCTTTACAATAAATCTCTTAATACATATCTCTTACTGGTTCTGCTTTTCTGGTTGGACTCTGACTAATAAAATTCCAAACTGGGGGAAAAAAGAAAAATCAGTAATGCAAGAGGGAAGGAAGTTGGCATGCTTTGTTAACACCCGCCCCAGGCTGTGTCTACATGTACCAACAGACTCGAGTCAGACAAAACACGTGTGTGTGTGTATGCCTACACACACACCATAATGCACACACACTCACACACACCCAATCTCACATCAGAAACAGTAAGTGTCCAAACACTCAAAGTCCTGTGTGTTTTAGACCTGAAATTTTTGACATTTAGTGATTCAATTAATCAGAAGCATCAACAAAAGATACCTACACAACTGAAGACTGGGATTCAACAATTCAATAGCACACTCTAAATCATACAGTAATGTGCAGAAGGAAGTAAGTGTGTCATATTACTTAACAAGAAAGACATTTTACACATTTCGATACAAACAATAATCATCTTTATGAAACAAACACAAATGCTTCAGCTAATAAGTGATATGTGTTGCTCATTCAACCAAAAGAGGTTTTAACTTCGATAACACACATCAAATAATCCCATCACATTGACAGAACTACAGAAATACACTTTTCAAAATCATAAATGACAATTTGTTAAAAACAAGTTTCTACAAATTGCTTTTAAACATATCCCCTGCTACCCTTCCTTACCTGGACTGCATATCTTGCTGGGCTCTGGCCTGACTGGCTTCTGCCGGAGGAGAGGTGTGAGTGACTCGCTGCTGAAGTTCCACCAAGGACTGGTAATACTGCTGTTGATGGTGTTGTTGCTGCTTGTAGCGAGACAAACTGAAAAACAGCCCTAGAATGGCTTTTAAGTTTCCATTTCTTATTTCTGTATCAAAGGGAAAATATAAAAACAGTATCATGTGAAATGAATGTGGTTTTTATTTTTATTTTTTTACAAGTGAAATTCTAGATGCCAGTCTCTTCGATGGTATATCTATGAATGTAGAAATGTAATTTGAGTCTCTCGGTCATACATGCAAGCACATCTGAACTTCTGAACCATGCTAACATTTCCAAATATTTGGAATTTCAGGGAGAAAGTGAAGGGATGGAGGGTACAGAGAACAAAGTTTACTTGAGTGATGCTGTTTGCTGACCCTGAACTACAATTTTCTAGAGTTAGCTTCTTCTTGGAAATGGATGGGCTCTCTGTCTCGTGCTAATCATTTGACTTGGTACTCTGGTTCCCTCACAAATACACAGCTGTCACCCACAAAGCGATGGCTGTGAACCGAAGAAAGAAAGCCACTTTAAATGTCATTGTCCTGCATTATAAATACTGATGGGTTGGGTGCAACTCATAATAGCAATTGAATTTATAGCAGTCAACATTCCTTCTAAACATCCACCACACAACTTATTAAAATACATACATACAGATATACACACATACTATATATACTCCAAAAAACTGAGTACATCATAGGTACAATTTTAGGTGGTCCAATTCTTTTATTTTTAATTCAAGATATATATCAATAAATAATAAAGATCAGTTTACTCATGACTTTAGATAAAATGAAAATCCTAATTCTAAGACAGGTCTGTATAAATTTTTCTAATATGGAACAACAAATTTAAATGCACAGTATAAACTGCAAACTGAGACTTTTTTCAAGATTTTTCTCTTGAAGTTATAATTGAAAAAAAAATAGGAAAAGAGAGAGAGCAAAGCTTGAAACCAGTAATCATATTTTAAATAAAACCTGCTACTGACAATAAAACACACCTTACTGTGAGGTCAAGGCTTTATGTCTTTTAGGAGTTTAGGAACATTAATAAGCTATTTAGAATCTTTGCTCTCTGATGGTTTAAAAAGTCATACAAACTGTGCAGCAGAATTACTCATATGAAATGAGGCTCTAAGTTTTTCTTCTATTTATTCACCCAAACTTTCCTCACAGTTGGCATAATATAGAAGAGTGGGCTTGATCTGTATGAAGCTACAGTGAGAAAGTATTTTCTTACATAAACCTGAATGATCTTAGAGTTTTAAAGTGTTTCTTCTTTTATTACAATGCAGCATTAATTAATTTAGAAAGTCATTTTGAGCATTCATATATTTTAGAAAATAAATAAAAATCCAAAGGTTTATGTTAATAAAGAATGTCATATGAGAAGGAAGATATATATATAAAATAGTAGCATTTTTAGCTTGCTGTTAACCACTTAGAAAGTAAAACACCATCCTGGGGAATCTTAGCAAGTTTTATTCTAAGTAACAGAACAATCAGTGAGGTCTGAGTCTAAGCTTTTTGGCTATTAAATAGGTAATTTAATATCAGACACTATAAATATAAACATAATAAAAATGGGGAGTGGTGGGCGAAATGGAGACAACTGTAGTTGAACAACAATACAAATTAATTAAAAATATAATTAATGTCATATTAATTATATATGAAGTGTAATATAAAAGAAAATCTAAATATAGAAGAAAAATGGAGAAAAGTCAGTCAGTAATTCTACCAAATATCATTATGTTTGAAAAGCCACACAATTCCTCTTTCTCCAATGATAGCAAACGTTTAAAAACTTAGAATTATCTAGTATTTCTAGTGCCTGTGAGACAAAAGGCCTTTTCAGAGCAAACTGATTGTGGAAACTTTAAGCAATCTAAATGTTCACAGTGTTTAACAGTAGCTAGCAAATTTTTTAAATATAAGGGTTAATATTCTAATTAAAAATGGTTGTCATTTATACAGATCTTGCCATTTCATAACTTTAGCAATTGGTTTTTGTTAATAGTACTTGACAGTTTTTCATATATATATGAAATATATATATATATATGGGAGACAAAGATTCAGAAAAAAGATGACAAAACTAGTTGCCTTTTTCTGCTTTTCTGTATTCAGTTTTAATGATGATCTTTTAAACTTTAATGACTTAAAGTCTTTATACATAACAGTTATTAAATACTGTTAATGCTAATTATTTAAGAACTCATGCTGACTTATTTAAAATTATGGAATATTTAAACTAGACTTGCCAATTTGATCATATTGATAAAATATTTGAGCATTACACTATCATTACCTGTATTTAAATCTATTTATTATCCAGCATTATCTATCCACCAAAATCACTCTAGTTAAGACTCTAAAAATACTGTACATTGGTGATATAATAAAAATGTTCTGTTAATTTGCCCCCCTCCCATATACCTAGTAATATAAAAAGCAGTTAACTAAAGCATACATTAATAACCACTGCATTTACATTTCTATTAGTTTAGAAACTTTACTCATTTTCTTTATTGTACTAAGGAGCTCTGCACTTTCAACTTACATTTCTTGCATTTTAAAAAAAACATCTTTTACAAACTTGGGCGTCATCTGTGACAACCACACTTTTTCTTACCTTCGGCAGATAGACCTTGGACATTGACTCCTCTGGCTGCTAGAAAACTAAGGCAGACGTCAACATTCTCAATCTGTAACACAGAGAGCAGGGAAAAAGTAACTTAGAGCAACATATTTAAATAAATAAACGAGCTAGAATAAAACCAGAGAGAAAGATAAGGAAAGAATGAATGCTTTACATTCATTTCATACTAGAGATCTCTACCAGAGCTTAACTAGAATTATTTTGGCTAATTGCAGAGTGAATATAAAGCGTGCATTGTCCAGTTTGGTACTTACAAACAATTCATAAAGGCCTGGTCAAGAATGGCATTCTTACAGATTAGCAACCCACCTACTCATACAACCCAATTGTTGTGATCCACAAATAAGATGGCTTCACAAATGAGTCTCAACTAAATCACCCATGCAGGAGGACACAGTTGCTTGTGCGAGTCTTGGAATGTTAGGATGTGGGTATTTGAGATTCAACCAGTAATATCTGCTAAGTATGCCTAAAGATAAATAAGATGGACAAGGAGTTGATACAACATGAGTGGGATGAAGCATATTTTCATCCTAAACCATGGCAAGTCTTTATTTTTAAAACTGTATTTGTATTTTTTAAAGATTTTACTTATTTATTTTTAGACAGAGGGGAAGGGAGGGAGAGGGAGAGAAACATCAATGTGTGGTTGCCTCCCGCACCCCTCCTCCCCCACTGTGGACCTGACCCATAACCCAGGCATGTGCCCTGACTGGGAATCAAACCCGGAGTCCTCTGGTTCACAGGCCAGTGCTCAGTCCACTGAGCCACACCAGCAAGGGCAAAACTGTACTTGTATTTCTATAGCTGGTTGAATTATTCTCTGATTAAATACATGTGTTGCCTTTGTAATTTAAAAGACTGATGCCATGGCTTTTAAATAGTTTCAATATGATAACCAGCTTGTTAACGACTTAGCGTGACAGAAAACCCCAATCATTTATGTTGATTCACAGGCTGATCTCAACATTGGCCATGGTGTTATACTGCAGTTAAATGTCTAAGTCTTTTTTAAAAGAATACAGTTCCAGTTCTTTATGATTATCTCCCTGGGTTTTTTGGTATTCCATAAATATTGAAATTCTAAAGTAATTAGGAGATTTAAAGTTAATGCTTGCCAAGGTATTATTTTCTGTCTCATTAAGTTCTCATCAAAAGCTATGCATGAGGACAAACGAAGTTCTGCCAAAGTCCTCTCTAGCTTACCTTCATAACAAGGTCAAAATGGCTCTTAAAAATAAAAAGAAAAAAGAGATTCGAGGACCCATCTTATAAAATAGACAACCATTTATGTTTCTTTTTAAAATTAATTTTGTATAAAATTAATGATATCCCATGAGATGGTCTTTGCTTCAAAATGATTATAGCCAGGGTATACACATTTATTCTGAGAAAAATTCATTTTTATGTTGATTCATTTCAAAATGAGTTTAACTTAAATGATTCTATTGAAAAAACAATGGAGCTGAAGATGCTGAATACAACATGACCAATCTCAGCCTATCTTCCTCTTTATAGCTTAAGTAAAAATGACCTGCAGAGATGGTCTCACATAAAGATGAGCAAGAGAACCCAAGAAAGTAGTATATACTATATGATGCTCAAGTTATATGAACTAAACCATGAAAACAAAAGTTAGAATAGTGATGAACTGTGGAGGGACACCATCTGGACAGGGGCACTGGGGACCACGCATGCTGGCAGTGTCCTTCGCTGGGATCTGAATGATGACAACCCTGGGGTATACACAATGTAAAAAACTGATCCGCTATATAGTGAAGACTGTAGGGCTTTATATACTTTCATTTGCTTTACCTCAATTTCCATTAGAGTACTTTACACTCTCCTACATAAGTTTTACTTGAATTAAGAATAAGAGTAACATGATGACCATTCATTTTTTTTGAGAACAGACGCTTGGCATACAAGGATAGAAGTATGGAAACATGTCAGGTGGGTGTTGCATGTAACTAAAGTGGAAGATTATTGTGTTCCAGATAAAGGTGATGAGAAATGGTCTGATTCTGGAAACATTTTGAAGAAAGCTAACAGGAAGATATGGCATAAAAGAAGAGAGGAGTCAAAGATGACTCTAAGGTTTTGGGCCTCAGCAAATTGATGGATGAAGTCTTTGTCCACTAAAATGGAAAAAGACAGATAAATACACAGAGTTGACTTTTGGACATGTTGTCTCATCTACTGGACACACACTTGGAGATTCTTAGTAGGCAGCCGGACACACAAGCTGGAGTTCACTGAAGAGGTTTGGGAGTATAGTTCTAAATTTGGAAGTCATCTTCATACATATGGTAATTAAAGCCATGAGGCCACATTGAATCACCAAGAGGGTGCAGATACAAAAATGAAGAAGAAACAAACATTGAGCCCTAGGAGACTATCACTGGAAAAAAGAGAAGGAACCACCAGAGACTGAGCTCCATTTACAGTGAAAATAAAAGAAAATCCATTCTAAGTGCTGTGGCAGCACATTTCTCACTTGGCTAGGTCACAGCCACATGCATAGTGCATGGACAGTCACTCCAGGACTGCTACTTGCATATGACTGCATCATGCACGATTTCTTGGGTCCTTCTATTTGTAGCTTACATTTTACAGGCACGGAACACCTACGTTGCCTCTCTTTTTCTTGTTAAGTTTAAACATGGTTAGATAACTACAAAATATTGACTCTATAAGGGAAACAAAACAAAAAAATTCTAAGTTCTAGATATAGTCATAGATATAGTCAATATTTTCAGAAGTTTCAAAATGTATGGGCACATTGAGCCATGAGCATTTTGGGGATTCTATGGAAATCATTAATGTTATGCAATGGCCGAACCAAAAACACAATTTCTTTGGAGTTGATCTGAAAATGGACTGCTCTCTTTGTTCTCTTTGTTGAAGATATTAAACAAATTCAATATAAGGCCCATATTTTACAACCGAGTAGTTTCTACTTGAATAATTAATATTTGTCTTGAAACATTATCATTTAATTTTGATGAGATTCTATAAAACCAAACCATTCATTTAGTCAGTCTTCACTTATTAAACTTACTTTAATCCTGGAATTATGCTCAGTACTATGGATACAAGTTTCAAGGCAGAGTCACTATTCTTATATTTTCTAAAGAATATTTATTGATTTCTAATATTTTCCACTATTCCCATGAAAAACTGGGAGCCATTTTTCAAAACAAAAAATTTCCCTGTCTAATTTCATAATTGTATATTTATCTTGACTCTTATAAACTTGGTAAGTATTAGCATATCTATTGCTCAATTATAAATTGGGCTTCAAATGAGGAACAGTTAGAATATGTATTGAAAATACCAGCATTTATTCATTTTAATGTGGAATAAAATATTCCTACAAAATGCAGAGTTTTTAATTAGTACAGCTCTTCATTGAGCTCCCACACTTCAACCTGCATATTCTATGACACTGAGCCTTATAATATTTTTATTATGATATTGATATAACTTGTTTTGGGAAATGTCACTGGAGGAATCTTTCACAATATTAACAAAGTTGTATCTTGTTCATTCACAGGTTTCTTTCACTTTTACTTATGGGTACTTAATAGAAATTATATTTAGGTACTAAATATGAGGATATAATTAATATTACCTTTATAGTTATTGATTCAATTTAAACCACAGCACCAACACAATGGTTAATAAATTCATCAGCAACTACTGACTCTTCGATATGAGGAAAGAGCTCTGCAGGCAGTGAAGGGATATAAAAATGAACTATAGGTCTTTGCCTATGCGAGCTTCTGAAACAGCTGAAGAAACAAAAACGATTCCTAAATTATCACAACACATACTCCAAAAGGGAATTATAAACAACACTGTATGGCAGTGAAGAGAATGGACTTACTAACTTTCACTACATATCTGGGGAAGCTTCACAGACGGAGCATCATTTAGACTCAAACGCTAAGTCTGATTTTCATACGGTGAAACAGGCATCTGAAGGAGAGGTGGGTATGCCTATGAGAGCAACGAGGAGTGAAAGTACTCACAAGGATGCTTGAGATCATGCCAATCTTTACTTTCTGCAATTAGGTTTATAGGGCTAAATTTAGCCTCCAGTTAAACAGCTCTGTTGCCCCTTGGATTCTCTAACTAAAACTACTGGAATACAAAAAGTTAAGTAATTGTAAACCAGGAAGCAGGCATAAAACTTCACAGACTAAGTCCTTGCTCAAGACATAACGCATCATGGTTATGGCACGTCTTAGGTGCTAGGTACTACTATTGTGAGTTGTACATGGAAACGGTCTAGAATATAAAATGTTCTTAACCTTTTCTGGATGGTGAATTGTTTTCTGACTTGTGCTATTTTTGATTAACTTATACTTCCAATTTTTCATTATAAACTTGTGCTATGGTGCCATTATATAAATTAATAACTGTGATTTCAATTAAAAATATAGGTAAGATGACTCAGTTTGGGCAAACTCTTACCCTACCATAGAATTCAAAGAGTTATATAGATTTTTAGCCCAAGGTATTACCCAGATATAAAGTTGTCTGGTGAATTAAAATAAAATGCAGTAATATTTTTGCATTAAATAAAATTGGTTAAGGTGTTTATTTTCATTCACATAATTATTAGTTCAGTCCTCTCTCCTTTCCACAAAGAAATCACCTCGTGCCCTGCAGAGGTCTTTTCTTTTCACGTGGTGGCTGCTGGGCAGTTTGTTTGGCTTCTCATTTATTCCCATGTGAGCTGACCCACTACACTTCTTGCATATAAACAGAGAAAATGACAATATAAAGGAGTTATTATTCCTTCTTTCAGAAGTGACTGTGTAGCTGGGCAAAGCCTGGTTCATGCTGCAAAGAAAGAGAACTTCCTCTCCAGAAAATTCCATTGCTTTAAGGAATTTATTCCAAATAATTAGACAAGTGCTCCAAGGTCTACAAAAGTACTTGAAAGTTCACCAAAAAAAGTTACTTACAAGATTATTAATAATACCAAACATTTAAAACAACCCAAATATCCACAAAAGAATGCTATTTAACTGGATC